GCCAATTGGACGTTCAGCTTTCATCTCATCTCAGCTTTTTGCACGAGATAACCATCTCACCCACCCCGGAGCCCCTCCCCTTCTTAACAATAGGGTTTTATCGGCTCAGAAGAAGAGTATCCATAGTATGCAAGCATATAACATGTGTCAAGAGGTAATTTGTTTTGAATCACGGAAGACTTCAGTACAACCTCACCATCCCTTCCCAGACCCAGGCGCACTACTACTATCTCGCTACAGAGGGCACAGACATGAAAAGGCGCCGCGCCGCCGCGCGGCCCCTCCCAACTCACTTAGCACCGAAAACTCATATTCACCCAATATGCACTTATTTCAAACTAAATCACGAAAAGACCCTTGAAAAAGAGCGAAAATGTTCACTTTAGAAAAATGCGTCACCTGTGGGACAGCGCGGCTCAACGGTGAGCCGCGGAAGCGGAAAGCTTCGAAATGCGTCTGTCCCGCGCGCCAGCCACGCAAAAAGGCGCGCTGTCGTAAAAGGGTTAATGGTAAACAACTGACTTGGTATCCTGATCACTCTTTTCATATACTACGACAACATAAGCTCATTTCTATCCGGTAGGATACGTTTGAAAAGTTTATTTTGATCTCATTTATTTATTCACCAATCGGGTCGCCCGGTTTACGCCGGGCCTCATTCCTTACTTTTACCAAGTAGTTACAAAGTGTAGTTAGGAAAGTGAGGCATTGTTCTTATCCAACACTGAGGGCTAGAGTGCAGAGGAGGGATAGCCGACATGACCTGTAATTAGAAACGGTTCTAAACGGAAGAAAATGGTTTCAAGCCAAGCCCCAGTAGGAGAGCAGCCGCGGGGTGAGGACGGGATGATTAACTCGTGCAAAAAGCTAGGATGGGGTATGAATTGAAGATTCAATTGACTCACCCACCTTGGTACCCCTTTCGTCTTAGAGCTCAGATCAAAACTGTATGTTCTCGGCTAAGAAACGTTAATGAGCACATTTACGGACTAACCTCCTTAGGTTGAAATTACGCTGCAAAAAGCGGAGATCTCATAAGTACATTATCACATCCGATTTTTGTATGGACATACGCAGCACGATGCCTGCACAAAGATCAAAATCACTTCACTCCACCATAGATCTTGCAAACGGACAGATCGACCAACGAAACACCGACAAACCGACACACCAAGTATCAGCTTTACAAATGAGATCAGGAATCAGGCAAATGTGTTAGTAAGTTTGCGCGAAATAAACGCCGGAGCGGAAAATCATCAGTCCTGTCCCCGTGGACCTAGAGCGTTAAAATTTGTTAGCAGTACAAGCGGGATGGGTACACTTATTGTGGGTGGCAGGACCAAACCCCGCCCACAGGGGGCGGGGTTTGTGCGAAACAAGTGTTCAGGCGGAAAATCATAACTCCTGTTTACGAGGACCTAGAGCGTTCAAATTTGGAAGAAATACAGCCAGCAGAATATGACTACTTATCATGAGTAGCTGCATCGGTCTCCGCTCACAGGGGACGAGGTCTACGCGAAATAAATATTCGAGCGGAAATTCATAACTCCTGTTCCGAGGACTAGGCAAGTTCAAAATTGGTAGGAGTAGAGGAAGCACGATGGGAGATAGAAGAGGCCTTAGAGAGCGAGAACAACTTACCGATTAAATCCTGGCGCATTCGTTATTATTTTTACGATCTAACGCGACTCTTCAATATATTTAATTTGACAAGAAGGGTAGGTAGTGATATGGACCGAGTAAAGGCACTGAGATGAAAATTTGGTTCATTTTTGGCCTCTATATTACGACCGCTAGCCAGGAAAATTTGTGGCTCAATGAAAGATCACGATTTCTCTTTGATTCGATATCATACTTGGCAAAACTTATCCAACCGCTAATATTTTGGATCATCATCTAATAATATATCCGTGGGGAATGGAAGCTTCACAGATTAAGACATTTGATAGTGGTGAGATTATGACTCGACAGCATTTCTCCGCACCACTGAATGCTTTGGTTGCCCACCACTTAAACCTTCAATGGGTCTCTATTTCCAAGATGACAAGATGAGCATCGGCTATTTTGAAAACCATTTGCATGCCTTTTTGGTCCTTTGTCTGATTTCGCGTCCGAAATAGGAACATTTGTTTCGAAGGAAGGGACCACTTAGCAGATTCTTAAAACATTATCATGGGAAGAAAGGAAGCCTGGCGTCAGTCGGGCGACCCGACTGGTACTGATATGAGGCATACCATTGGAAATAATGCGGTCAGTTATCCTCTACCGTAGTTTAGCTGAAGAACAACTTCTAGTCATTCTATGACTAAGGGTGCCGCGATAATGTACCAGCCAACAATTCGTCTTTTTTAGTTAACCGTACCTTTGCAAGAAAATCTGAAGAACCATATCCGGTACGTCTTTCGAGCCAACGAGCGCCACTCCAATCCCACCAAGTGTCATGATGGCGTTTTCACATACCAAAGCCACAACGCTAAATAAACAACATCAGCAGGAAACAAATACAGAACAGCCAAGCAATGCGAACAGCCAGAAAAACTTCAGGCGTTATCGTTAACTTCAGGATGCGATGCAATAAAAATTAAGTGAGAATAGCGAAGTTAAAGGTGCACGTATTACGTGATTGCTGATAGGACTAAGACACACGTCAACACGCATACTAGAGGCACGGTTAACAGCCACGTAATGCGCACTCAAGTGGGCCGGTCATTCTCATCATGAGCAGAGATTCATTAATTTCCACCATGATTATCCTATACTTTGACAGATCACATGCAGGGAAGATGCAATTTAAAACTAGCCCGCGTGATTATAATTTTAAGTATGCCCTAACAGCCTTGTTTTCGTGCAGTCAATTGTTAAGGCATGGACGTGCATTAATGAACTGTTGGTAGGTATGTATGTCAAGCTTGTTAATTACGACGTGCATTAATGAACTTTTGGGAGGTAGGTATGTCAAGCTTGTTAATTATAAGTAGCTGAAAGCTAATACGATAGATATCGGTAACATTTTCAGGGAGGATTATAACCGTAACTCACCGATCTGCTGCGTGGAAATTTCTGCAAATGGAGTGAAACACGTAATCGACAATACAATTTGTTCAACAGCCAAAATGAATCACAACGCTACTTTTTTATGGTCTGTTTCGGTTCGAAAGAACATATGAAGGAAATGTGTACCGCAGACAGTTTCCTCCAGACGTATGAATGCAAACAAACCCTTCATTTTTATTGAGTAGACTGGCTCTTCAGCTGTTCCACTAAACCAAATGTTACATCCAAATCCAAAAGCATAACGGAGGCATTTTTGAGGTCACCGTGGAGGTCGTAGCACAGGAATCGCAATTGTGCGCACGTAAAACCCTCGAGGCATTTTGGATACAGGTCACCAGTCCCAAAATGAATCGTAGGGAAGAATGTCTCGCAATCACGCGTGAGCTACGACCTTATATAAGGCTGGCCTTCCCGCAGAGACTTTAATGA